GAATGTTTATGTAAAGAACTTATTGATTTAATGCTTGAATGTTGGCGTCCTTGGAGTGAACGACCATCATTTCAAGAAATTTATAATTATTTTAATAAACGTCTTTATGGGATGAATATTGTTTGAGAGAAATGTTCAATATGTATATTAAATTTAATCTTCTAAAGTGTAAAATATTTTATGTTATCTTAGATTTAGTACATCAATAAATAAAAACGTTAAATATATCATTTTTAATTCTTAATTGTATACCTGTATTTTGTTAAATATATATATTGAAATATTCGAGCATATATCTTTGCGTCATTATTTTTAATTGATATCAATGTGTAGGTCTTATGACCCGTAATTAGTCTGAAAGGTTCAGTCAAGACTATGTACATGTGAATATGTGCGCTTCATCTATTAGTTCTACTAACCCACACCCGAGATCCTCAAGATAATTTATCTTTCTAATAATTGTATTTTACTACTTAATGTTATGGGTATGGGTGTATAATATCTATGGAAGCCACATCCCCATCCACCCACCCTAAAAGTTAAATATGTGATAAATGATCATTACCCCTATCTAAGTGCACAAATAACAAATCAACACATGTTTTTATATGGATAAAACGCGCATATTAAAGTTTTATGTGCAAACAAGCTTAAATGTATACGTGATTACGAGAGTAGGTGTGAATAAAAGTAAATGTTTCATTCGTTTTTTACTCACATTCACATACTCAATACTTTGTATTTCTGTAGAACAGCCAGTTACTTACATAATTAACGTTAAATGAATTATGTTATATTTTTAGTGGATTCTTTTAACTAGAACCGATACAAAATCTATTTCGGCGGTGGAATATCTCTTACAAAAAAAATCGTTACAGTCATGAGAAAGTAGAGAGAAGCAAAAACAATTGCTACTCGTCGACACGTTCGTTGAGAAATACAGTGTTCATTATTCCATGGCCATGGACAACCAAACATACCAATACCCAAAAGAAAACCCATCAGACCACCACCAAAATGATCTGCGTGTGCTATAGAAACCTGAACAATATTTATTAACAATATCGAAATACTCATCGGAACTACAACCAATAGGACCAATTGTAAAACTATATGAAGACGACGGCGTTGATCGGTGTTCGTTTTCATTGCCATAAGACGTTCCACAATGTAGAATAACAGTACGCCATATAGAGCACCAGAAGCTCCAATACCGGCTGAAAAAACAAAAAAAGTGATAAACTTGAGTATGCAATCTTCGACTGTCGTATTTTCTGAATCTATGAAAATAATCCTGATCAAAATCAGCAGTCATTTGATGTCTGAAATCATGAATTTTTCAACTTATTTAACTTTCTACTTACGTGTCATTGTATGTAACGTCGTAGAAGCTAGACTAGCACTCAAAGTACAAAGCCAGTATATAATAACTATACGTATTGAACCATATTTACGTTCGAGTGGAATTCCATACAGAAGTTGTGTGAACATATTGGATAATAAATGTGCCCAATTTCCGTGTAGGAGATTCGAAGTTATCATTCGCCATAATTGATGTGGATACATGAAAGAGAAACATGTCTCTCTGAGAATATCATCATAGTAACATGTGCTATTTTGATTTGATAATTTACAATCGAAGTAAATCCGCCGAATATTAGGTGTTGGTCGCATACATGGCAGATAACGCTTTCCAAGATTATATAATGACCGAGACAAACTTGGATCTTTCGAAAGACTGTTGATGTATATCAAGAGATGAATGGAGAAATGTAAAACAGACATAAAGATGATAAATATTGGATAATAATGCTTTTCATTTGGTTCGTCATCCAAAGTAAAGATTCGTTGAAGCCATAAACATACGATGTTTTTTTTACGAGGAACTGGTTCTTCTACTCGTACTGACAATGATTCTTCCATTTCGAGGTCAATGTTGTCGTGATGATTCATTCTTCTAGGAGAATACGTTGTAATCTTCTCTTTTCTTATGCCGTCAAATTGGAAATGTGATACTATTTTACACGTACGCGTCTTTCATAAACATATGTATAGAAGAAAATGACGTGTATTATTCCTTCGTTTTCTTTTTCCTATAACTCATCGAGGGGAAAGAGATGGCAGAGTATTATATTATCTATTCTAATTTATAAGGTATATTTACATTGGTTAGAAAAGGTTGTTTTTCTACTTCTTCCATCTCATCTGGAAGAACAAGAATTTATTAAATGAAGGTTCATATTTTAATAACATTCAAGATAATATTTTTCTTTTTGCATTAACTGTAACTAGAAGTATAAGCCGTCGGCTTAAGCGCGCATCGGCTTTAGTAAAAACGTCAGCTGGCGGCCGTCGGCTTCAGCAAAAATCGGCTGACGGCTTTCATCTCTAATTGTAACACAAGAGCTCTACTCTTGTCAACGTCTGATTATTTAATTCTATCTTAAATTCTAATAATGTTTAATTAAGTTAGAATGCACATATTTCATGTCTATCACGTACCAAATAAGAAATATAAGTGTACATGTCCTATTAGTTATGAGTATAACACTTGTCTCGGCATCCTTTTATTAATAATAAAAATCTTTCGAAGAAGAATAAATACTTTCACTATACCTTATATTCTATACATCATCTGATTAGATTTTAGGTAATTGATAGTATTACTTTTACTGAAATGTTTTATTAATTTGTGTACATCCTAGTAGATTCTTTAGCTTTCGAGTCGGTACTGGCAAAGTTCAAAGATTTTCATATTCGTTCTTTTTAACCATGTTCAATTGATTATATAGATAAAGGATAAGACCATTTTGTTGGTTGAGGATGAGGATGTGTGCATGACTATAATGCAGTTATACACTAACTTTTGACAGCGTTTGATATTTTATTAATCATTCCATATCGATAATTGTTCTTATTCTGCTTCTCATTTTTAGCTTTTAGTGTAATTCACCATATTCATTAAACATGTTTCTTGATGGTGATGTTTGCTGTACTATACTTATCTTCAAAAAGACATAAAAAACAATTCTATTTTGTTTATTTCTTATGATAATCAGGCAAATTAGAGTTGATAATAAATACACCAACCAAGATATTCTTGAAATGTAAAAATAGTCAAAGTTCAGTTAGATATGATCTATCGCTTTTTTTTGTTATGACACCACTACATGTAATCTCTTTTCCAGTTAATTAAAGTCTTCCTATAATTTCTTTGTATAACATATTGATGTACAAAAATATTCTTTTTTTAAAGTTCACATAACTTTTCTCTTGATAATAATTTATCTTTCGTTCATTCTGTAGTGAAGACGTCAAATAATCTCTAACGTCATTTACATCATGGTAAAAAAACAGACGATCCAAGAGCCGCATCAAGAGAAAAAGTAGCCGGCAATTTTCATCGACGGTAATGAAGAGAAAAAAGACAATATCTGTAAACAAAGAACTGATGAATCATTCTCATCATAAAAGTGTAGGTGTCGATGAGAAATGAATGTAACAGAGAAGACTTCAACTAACCTGGATTCATTATTACCGTCGTTGATAAGACAGCCGATATTATTCAGTGAAACTATTTGTTTAGTAATTATTTTAGTGGAAACTCATCTATAGTTGTTGTGGTTGCTGTTGTATAAATATTTTGTGTTGTTTGAGTGGAAATTAAAACAGAGAACAGTGTTGGCAGTCAAAGAATGATTGTGTCTTTGCAATTTCTTAGACAACGATTAGCTTTCAGTAAAATTTAGGGGTGTGGGTGTGGGTTAATAGAAGACCAATTCCAACACTCACACCCTACTCAGATACGAAGAATTGTTAAAAAACAAAAATAGTATTTCTAAAATGCACGTAAGTGGAACAGATAAGATATTACAAATGTTAGATGTCACATATACTATTCGATACATTCACGAATTTGTTAAACCATTAATGATTTGAATTGATCAACTACAACAAAATTTGTAATATTTCAAATATCATAGGGTGTTGGT